AAGTTAGGCAGGACTTAAGGGCTGAGGTCGCTTTCGTACATTATCCCTAGAGAAGCCCATTGAAGCGTTCATAGCGGAAGGAAATACTTCTACCCGCTTCAGGAATATACTCGTTCCTCGTGCCTTTATTTTGAGCTGTGTCGGGCACTCGATTTGCTTCTTCTCCCTTCCCTTTACAGCTGACTGTGACAGCGCGATTTGCTGCCTGCGTCCCCTTAGGGAGCATTCAAATTGTTTCCCCGGGTGATTCTATTTGTTTGGAACCCTTTCGGGATTTGTTCCATTACGTTCAGGCTGTTTTCCAGAAATATTTTAATATTCAAACAGGTATCGCTGCGTTCGTGCCTTCGTTCGCAAACGAAAATCAGAGCTGTGGCAAATCAAGGGAGGAAGCCGTGATTGGAGCTGTACCATTCAAATCACTTTTTGGTTATGAAATGCTGATCCCCGAGCCTGGATTAGTTCCGATGGAAGCTGTCGATACTCAGGCGGCCCTTCTTCCTCGTTCTCTCTTTGTTTCAGAGACACCTGACAGGATATTAGTGTTTAGATATGCAAAATATACCCTTATTTTCAACGTTAATCATCGGAGCTGCAGATTTTTTCCAATGACTTCTCAAAGCAAAGCCGGAGAAATGTGTTCGTGGGAAGATAAGTGAAATGCGTGACATTTCTGTCCTTCCACCGAAGGCAGAAGGGAACCTCTTTGCCCTGCGAGTTCAAGGCAGAGCAAACGCACTTTGAAAGCAAGGAGTTAAACAGCGCAGAACGCTGGGTCTGCACCGTCCCCCTGCGGATGTCTCACTCGGCGTTTACGGCGCACACAGGGGTTTGGGTTCTGTTCTGTTTTCCCCCCACCACCCAGAGAGGAGCCTCCTTTTGCTGCGAAGGCTATCGAGTCCTCAGAGAGCAGCGCTTCGGCATCCTCAGCACCTGCCAGCGAGACCCAACCATGCCCTGCCTTCCCCCTCAGCCTCATTCCAAAGCCCGGAGTTCATCTGTGTGCCGTCGGCCCTGGCTACGCGTAGGGCAGCTGTGGGTTCCTCTGCCCTCTCCCCCCACGCCAACACAGTTTCCTGATGTTCTGCTGCAGTCTTTGGAAGACTGTCACGGCTTGGATGTGGCAGGAGAGTTGCCCCATGCTCACGCCGTGTGGGTCCCGACCCCACTTCCAGCAGCGCAGCGCTGCTGACGGATTCCAGCGGTTTGACGCCACGGCAGCGCAGGAACAAAAATAACCCAACACGTGGCCCCGTTCTGAACGCGCACCTGGGAAAGCAAACCTCGGCGAGCCAGGTGCTGTTAACTCCACTGCTGTGACTGCAGCAGAGGGAACGGTTTGGTAAGCAAGGCAGCAGCAGATACGACATCTCCGGCTCCCTCCTACTCCCTTCGCATCGTGGCTGGAAAGCGCCCAGACCACAGAATCCTGGAAGTGATCGGGAAGAGAGGGCCGGAGCCCAGGCCTTGGGAAGCAGCTCGGGCCTGCTGGCTGATCTCTATTCACAGCAGCTCAGGAGTTAACCAACTGCCTGCGCCCGCACCTTCTATTTGCCTTGGATTTGCACCAAGCTTGAGTCATCCCGTTCAAACAGAGGGGAGGGAGCGGGGGCAAGAGCTTCATTTTCCACGAAGGGCATTCCCATACCAGGACACTTTTAAGTTCTTACCAGGAAAAGGAGCCTTTTTGAAACGAGGTGGGTGGGCGCGTACCTTCTCTGAAGGGAAAACAGGAGCTGCTCAGATCTGCACGTGATCACAAGCAACTCAGCTGCGCCGGGGTCCGAATGAAGCAGGACCTCCGGGTACAGCGGGTCACGTCTGCCTTTCCAGAAAGATTTCATGGAGCTGCAGCAAAAGCAACCTCGTGCCATAGGTGGGACCGAGGGCTTTTATAGTAGCAGACTATCACAGGAACGCAAGGAATGCGGGGTGTAAACAGATTAGATCTTTTGCCCCTTCTCGCAGAAAGGCCCAGGTTTCTTCCCTTTCCTCCGAGGCTTGAGAAATTTAAATGAAATCCCGAAGCAGGCGTGTTACTCAAGCGCACTCCGTCCCCAGCCTGGGATTCAAAGCCAACCATTCACAGGTTTTTCCTGTTTAATCGGGGCTCGTGCAGGAACTCGGAGGAGCCCTGGAACCGGATCCGCTGGCCGTTTGGGTTGAGCTGGAACGAAATTGACCTACAGCACATTAACCCCTCACTGTGCTACTTCACCCGCTGGGAAGCGTCGGTCCTACGATTACCGACGCTCCCCAGCGGCCGTGACTCTCCGGAACGGATTTCCTAGCCCAGACCCACAGCCCCCCGTTGGGTCTGCGCGTGCGCAGGGAAGGCGGAAGGCCGGTCCTGGGGCTGAGCAGGGCCTGAAGGTCAGCGGGAGGCCCAGGTGGGAGCGGTGATGGAGCGGTGGGACCGGGAAGGGCTGAAGGAGGCGGAACTGGGGGAGTAAGTCCGACACGGGCAGCTCCTTCGACCCACCCAGGAAGATCATCAGCGCTAATGAGTGAGAATATTAACAGGAATCGGGGGAATTGTAATGGTACTGCAAGAGCATTAGGGGGGAGAGGCGCGTGGATCTGCTCTCGCTCCAGGACGTTTGTGAGCTGACGGCTCCCGAAAGCCCGCACAGATCCGATTCCCGTGCTTGTTTACAAACCCTGCCCACACCTTCGTAACAGCGAGGTCACACACAGTCTCTCGATCCCTCCCTCCCTGGCAGAACGATGGTTTTAACCCCGAGACCTTAAAACCTCCACTGCCAGCAACACTTCCCAAATCAAGGAAGCGAACTGCAGAAAATCTAGTGCTTTTCTTCTCGCTTTCCACTGTCGTCCTGATTTCCAGTAGCTCTGTGAGGGTTCTGTTAAGCTGATGGCGAGTTACCCGGTGTTATCTTTCATAAGGCATCCCTCTGTCTTCTCACCGCACACCTGTCACAGTTGCGTGACCTGGAAGGGCCCGAAGTCAGCTGGAAATCATCGCAAGTGCTCTTTCCAGCAGCGGTTCCTGCCTTCTGAGGCCTTATTTGGTCCTGCTGGGGGGTGCTTCCCAAAGTAAGGAATTGAACTATGCTGACAGGAAGGAACCCGGAGTCACCTTTTTCCTTGCGAAGGCGGAAACTGCCGGCAGCAGCTGCAACGGGCAGCTGCAAGCAGTAATTAAAAGCAGAGGGGGGCTATGAGAGATGCAAATTCACATGGAAGGCAGAGAGAGTCCTCGGGTTTCCGAACGCAGGAGCTGGGCCAACGAGGCGCACGTCACCCCACGACTGATTTGCATTGGCCACGCAGCGGTGTTCCAGATATTCTACCCGCTGCGCAGTGAGAAAACGTCCCCGGCTCGCTTTCCAGGAGACCAAGGCCTCTTGTTCTGGGATAGCATGAGGCAATGCTAATAATTCCATTGCGGAGAGCAGCACTGAATGTTGACGGGGTCAGAGAGCCGCTCGAGCGTGGCTTCTCCCAAGAAAACATTTTGCCAGTCTTCCGACAGGCGTTCTCTTTCCGCCTGTCACCGCCCCATAAATCATTAGCGATAATTATCCCCTTCACTCGAGCCCAAGTGAAACCAAACCAAACCAAAAAAACCCCATTTCTATTAGAGATAGCAGAGATGAGTGTGAATCCAAACTCCAGGGAAGCTGATGAGAGATTTCCTGTTGCCCTCTACGGCCTCCGGATGCCCCGTGGTTTTCGTTCCGTTTTAATTGCACCGGGCCTAGCGTGCTATCTGCGTGTACGCACACATCTGCGCACGTGGGCATCCCTTTTACAGTCCAGAATCTCGAGCGCTGATTTCATCTCGAGAGGCGATCACCTCTTGAGGCCGACGTGATGCGGGATGCCGGCACGCCTCCGGCGCGCAGCTCTCCTCCCTCCCTCCACCCCGCTCCACCAGCAGGCCACGGCACTGAGCGGAAAGGTGGCAGCAGCCAAGGCCTGCCCACGGGGCCGCTCACAGGCCCAGAAGCGTGTGAGCATCAGGAAAGGAAGACTGGGACTGCAGGAAGCCCTGCAGCTCCGGCAACCCCAGCGCGGCATCTTCGCGCGTCTTCGTGTTTGGAATAAGTGCGCACAGTTACTAGCAAGAAGCAAACGGTGACCTTAGGGCTTCCTCCGAGCGTGCAGGTTGCCCCGAACGCTCGGCACCGCGTCGGGGGGGCTGCAAGCGGTGCTTGCCACGTTCCTTTGGGTAGCCCATTTAAAGCCCTGTCTGCCTCCCACGCCCTGCTGCGGCATTCACCTGAATTTGCAGCACCGTGACTGGCTTTGCTAGAATGTCAGTTCCGTCCTACTGAAATAATTCCCCTTCCCTACAGTTGCTGGACGCTCACACGCGCGTGAAAGCATCCCGTAAAACCAGAGGAGAGCCTCCTCGCCTTCAGACAGCGCGCTGCACGTACTCCCCCAGCTCAACCCGCGCCTGAGTTTTACAGCTCCTCTCCGAGCAGCACCCCTCCGCACAGCCCCTGTCTTTCAGCACGCGCTCAACACGACACACGGACTCCGCGTTAGCCCTCCTTTGCGGAGGGAGTCGCCGCGTATCCATCCCACAGAGACGGAGCTCTCCCCCCTCAGCCGCCAGCAGAGCTGGGAGCCCTGCAAGGAGCAGCTCTGCTGCCGGTTGGAGGAGCGAAGCGGCACCAGGGGTTCGCATCGCCGGGTCCAACGTGACACGGCCGCAATCGCTATCGGTCTCCACAGACCCTCGTGTTTTAAAAGAAGTAGAAAACAAATGTTTGTCCTTTCGTTCTGCTGGCAATTTCTCTCCTGGTGTCCGAGTGGTCAGAAGGGGGGAAGTGGCCCGCAGCCACGGCTTCTGACGCACGAAGGGCAGCAGCGGGAGCCACCCCGCTACCGCTCAGCCTTATGCCAACGGCCGCAGCGCCTTTTGTTCCCGAGCCACTTCCCAAGCTCCCTCAGAACATCGCGAAGTGCAGCTATCACCATCCCGCGAGAAAAGCCTTCATTAAGGAAAGATAAAGTCAATCACTTACTTGTTCTCTCCCGCCGTTTAAACACACGCGCACAGAAAAAAAAAAAAAAAAAAAAAAAAAAAAAAGCAACCAAAAACCCCAAACCAAACAAACCGAAGCAACTCGTGGCTTCGTTTGGCCTCGTTCACGTTCAGACAAATAAAAGCCGGGGTAAATGCCAGCCCCGAGTTCGCCCGAGACCTTAGGAAGCTCGGGGAAAACAGGGCGGAAGGGGAGCACCCCGGAGGAATCTCGGCGGAGCGGATTTATTCCAAGCGCTTCGCAGCGCTGTTATCTCCGCCTTGGCTAAGCGGAATGCTGGTGAAAATCTTTGCCTGGTACAGCGCGGAGCCTCTGGTTCACAGGCCAGGAATTCTACGCTGAATAATTTTTAACTTCGGCTCCGGGAGGAAAAGCGGAGTCTCGTACATTCTGCCCGCTTGAGTCGGCTTTGTCTTTTTACGGCACGGAAGGAGAGCTCCTAATTTTCGGGGGAGGTGGGGGACGGGGACGGACACGCAGCGTGCCCTGAGCTGGGGGGCACGGGGGGACAGGGGCAGAGCGAAGCCGGGGGGCTTTTCAGAGGAAATCGGAGGGCCGAGAGCGGCCTTTCGAGAACCGCAGGCAGCGATTTCCCAATTCTTGTTTCTCACTTAAAGGCAATAATTGTAGCGACGTGCAGCGAATGCCATCTAACCCCCCCGGAACCGCTGAGACAGCAGCAGCTAGCGATTCTGACGGACCGGTTTGTTCTCTGAGCTGTCTGCCCTCGTGAGAGGGCTGGCTGAAATCGGGGACGCCCCAAGAGGCAGGAGAGCCTGCCCGAAGCCACGGAGTCAAGGCGCCAAGATCCGGGGCGAGAAATGAAGGCAGGAGCGAGCCGCTTTGGCTCTGCGGGAATTCCATCGCGCACTGGGAGCGCCGGGAACGAACCGCATCTCCCGAGCTGCCCCCAGGCGCGCCGAGTTGGACTCAATGACCCTGACAGGTCCTTCCATCTCGGGTTATTCTGCGAAACAAGAGATCCGATTTCTGAGCAGAGCATTGCTCGCGGCCTCTTCCCCACCTGGAGACGTGGGCCAGGACGTTGGGAACGAGGCGCCGCCCAGCGTCCCCCCACGAGAGCCACCAAACGTACGTCTGCCGGGCTCCAGGCCCGCGCTCGTCCCACGCGCCCACGGTGCTTCCATGCACGGTATTTCCAAATGCCGCTTTTCTCCTTCCGGGCGGGCGGGATCCTCAGCCCGCAGCGACGGCCGTGCAGAGCACGGCTGCCTTCTTCCGCCACGAAAAGAGAAGGGGGAAGGCTCTCTGGAAACACCACTCGGCTCCAGCGGCCGCGCGCGGAACCCGCCGTCGCATACATCTGTAGGAGATGCGAACAGGCACGCGTGCGGCCGTCACGGGGATGCGTTCGCCCACACCGAAAGCAAAAAGCGAGAACCCGGGCGAAGGAAAACCCCACGGACCCACACAGGTGGATGATGGGGCAGGTCTGGAAAGCGAGCAGCGAGGAATGCATTCGACACCGTTTAAGAAGGGTTTTCGCGTGGTTGTCTCTACCGAAGCGTGACTTCAGAGACTCTCTCAGCGCACGTACAGGCGAAGGCTCCCCGCCAGCAGCGCCCTCCCAAGACAAACTCGCGCAAATCCTCCCGCGCTCCTCCAGAGAAACCTTCCCCCGGCCCCCCCTCCGTCAGCAGCAAGCCTCCCGGGGCTGCGTTTGCACCACGCCGCCGCTTCCAAAGCAAACAGGCGCCCCCAAACCGCAGCGGCCGTTCCGTATCGAGACGCATCAATAAAATGTGATTTACAGCATTGTCACTGGAACGTTTTGTCCTTATCGAGCTCGAGATAAGATAGGAGGCAGCGAGAAAGGCTCGTTAAAGCGCAGTCCGGCCGTCAGCACCTTAACGAACTTGCTTTTCAAAGCTTATTAGCGAAGAGGCAACCGGTATAAAGGAACAGCTTGCAGGGGCGGGCGTGAGCCGGGAGAGGGAGAGCGGCGGTTACACCCCCGCTTCCACCTTCGAGAAGCCCCCTTGTTTTACGATCCTGAATTATCCCAGAGCTCCCGCGCGGACGCAGAGCTCGCCGGGCTCCTCCCGCCCCTATCTTTGTCCGCTTCAAAGTGCAGCGGGAGCATTTCAGAAGCTGCCGCGAGTTTTTCCTGCTCTAGGAGCGCCCCGAAGCGGTACTCGTTCGTCAGGGGGAGGTTCGCAGGGCAGAGAGCCCGGCGATATCGATAGGGAAGGCCTCGCGCAAGGAAGCAAACCGCGCGTTTGCAGCACGCAGCCTCGCAACCCGCGGTGCGCTGCCAAGTTTTCAGCCTCCGAGCCCCTCCGGCACCGACAGAACGCCGAGTCACATCCTTCAGGTTCGGGGCGTGCCCTTCGGAGCGGCTTCGCTGCCATCCCCGCGCCCTCCGGCTTCTGCCCCCCGCCGTTTCCCCCACCTCGATGAGCCGTCCTTATCGTCCTCTTCCTATTTTTGAGCGTGCGTTAAGATAAGGCAAACAGATAAGCGATCTCTCCCACAGAGATGTACTTGCCTAATCGGAACATTTACTCCAATTAGAGCACAAAAGACCTCAGTCTCTCCGTCCCCTTTTACTCCATGGGTAAGGTCAATATTTGCCCGGCGGTCGCTCCCACCGCCCAGGCGGCGGGACGGACAGACGGAGCAGACATCAGGAGGCAGATCGCTTTTCCTCTCGCGGTCTGCCACCGGACGGGCGTTGCAGAAGTCACCACGAGAGAAACGAGAGCACGGGGGCCGTCGACCCAAGGGCACGGGGAATTCCCCCGCTTGAAATGTTAAACACCCAGGCCAGGCGTCTTCGAGGAAGGCACGTCTCCACGTACGGACGGCGGCTCTTTCGTCCCCGGCGCCCCGAGCGCGAGACGCGTTTGACCCGCGCCGCTTCCCCTCTCCTTCCCCCCATCCGCAGATCCCCCCGTCCTCCCCACCAGCCTCCCGCGTCTCTCTATCCATCCGCCGCCAGCGGAGTTCTTACAACCAGCTTTCCCCGTCCCGGCAGGACGCGGTCAGCGAAGCCCTCGGCTTCGCGTGGAGGGCGCGACGCGTAAGGGCAAGGCGCTCCTAGGGCCAAAGCCATCCCAAGAGTCGGGTCCGAAGGAGGGCGCTCCGTAAAGGAGAGAGAGGCGCGGCCTCCCGAGAGCCGTTCCGCGCTGTCCACGGGCATCGCAGGGCCTCGGGCCCGTCGGCCGACCCGGATCAAAACCCCGCAGGCCCGAGCGCGGCGAACGGCCGCTGACACCTGGTGGCGAGGTCCAGGGCCCAGCCGGACGCAGCCGTCGGGGTTCTCACGGGCAACATCTGCAGAGAGACGGGGCGCGGAGAAAGACCGCGGCCGCCAACCGGGAGTTCAGAGCTGCCACACGAAGCGGCGTCGGGGAGAAGTGCCGCGACGGCTCCAGGAGTCGTCCGTACACCGAACGCCGCCGCAGCTGCTCGGGACGGGAGAAAGCGTCCAGCGGCCGAAGCGCTTGGGGAAAAGGAGGCAGCAGCAGACAAAGCATCTCTTGTGAGGCTTTGTAGTCCATCGGACGTCTGCTCGCAACCGGGAGGAACCGTTAGGAACGCACGCGAAGCGATTAGCGAACATCCACCGCTATTAGGCAGAAAGGAAAGGAAAGGAAAGGAAAAGAAAGGAAAAATGACCAGACCCAACCAGCCGTCGGAACGGCTCCCTTTGCTCCTTTATGTCGTCGGAGCTCATCGTTCGCAGAAACTCAACCTCGGCTCTTTAAACGAGCATAGGGCGGGGAAACGAGAGGGAAAGGCGAAACGTTTCTGCCCGGCTTTAGGCCCAGAGCAGGCTTCGTGCGATCCGAGCAGGGAGGTCGCGGAACGTAAACACAGTAATTAAGGCACCACTCGTTCTAATGGCAGGCAGTTTATTGCGCCGCACGCCGCACAACCGAGCCGCCCCAGGCACCGCACCGTCGGAAATCCCCAAGCCCGCCTTCGGGGGCCTTCCGTACCCACGCCGGCTTTTCGTCCTCGCTCAGCTCTTCGGTAGCGGAATCGGGTTCGCGAATCGTCGTTTTCTTACAGTGAAACGTCTTCGCGTGAGGCGTACTTACGCTTCCCAACCCAACCTTCGGATCCCTCCGAGCATTTCCGCCCACCCGTCTCCCTTCGGCCGCGGGGTGAGATAAAAATCTCCCTGCCGAACACGATGACAACCCCGGGAATTCCGAGCGCCCGTCCCGCCCTCGCGGCACCCGGCGGGACCGCGCGGGTACCGCTAGGCGTCACCCCCCGCCCGCCGACCGTCCCGGCGCCGCCGCAGGGTCACCTCGCGGGGCGGCGACCGCCGCTCGCTTTCAAGCGGCGCCTCGCGTCGCCCCGAGGGAGGCTCGAGTCGGATATTAGGCAGATTTTCTTCTCCGACCGAGCGGCGACGCGTCGGCCGCCCGGGGAGGGGGGCCCGTTCCCATCCCTGGAGGCGTCCGACGCGGGGCAGCGTCGGCGGTTGGCGGGCCGGCGGACCGGATGACCTTCGAGGTCATTTCCCGCCTCCAGGATTCGACGGGGCCACGATAGGAAGTATTACTTTTCAGAAAGGGCGGTCAGGCACCGGAACGGATGCCCGGGGAGGCGGCGGAGTCGCCGACCCCGGGGGCGTTCAAGGAAAGGCCGGCCGTTGTGTGGAGGGACGCGGTTTAACGGGAGCTATCGGCAACAGGCGAACGGTTGGACCGGATGAGCTTGTAGGTCTTTTCCCACCTTGGCGATTCTAGGATTCCAGGAGCGTCAGCACGAGGGTCGGGTTTGTCTCCGAGCAGCGTGCCGGACTCCGCACCGCCCAGGGAAAGCAGAAGCTCCAGCGCGGGGCCGGCAATTAGAAAAGCCTCGGTACGTGCTGCGGAACCAAGGGAACATCGAGGCAAAAGCAGCCCCCGCTTCGCAGCGCTCCCGCTCCAGCTCCAGCCGCTCCGTGCCCGGGGGAGCGCCGGCACAGAGCCCTCCCGGGTCCGGCAGAGCCGCAAAAGAGCGCGAGCGACCGGTGCGGGCAACGCGCAGACAGGGAGGAGGAGGCACCGGAGCCGGATCGCAGGCTGTCAGACA